GGATATCTTTTAAGTCTCAGCGATATAAGTTTTAAAAAGCTCTGAAGATTAATTCAATAAGTACATTTCCAAATAAAGATCAGCAAAAAAAGAAAACTGTTTAAGGGCTCTGTATTCTCTGGCAATGTAAACAGGATTATAACTGTCAGATGGACAGAAGCACTGACTTCAACCATTACTTTAGTTTTGCTTCTGAGAAACACAACATGAACTACTGAATCATTTCTTTTCAAATCCACACATTCCCTCCAGCAGTTCAAGCTTCATCAGCAGTGCAGGAATGTATAAAAACGACAGGCAAAGAACATTAGTTTTCTTCTTTCTCTGATACTGTTTTCCTATAAATGGAAGATAGGGTTCTTTCTCAAAGCACTTAGGTTAAGGCTGTTTATGTCAACTGCTGAAGGAAAATATGACTGAGTTCTCTCCACAAGAAAGTTTCCCAATTGAACTATGTCTGAAAATAAACATTAATTTTTTTAAAGAGCTGCATCATTATCTTAGAATAAAATACTAGAAGATTAGCATTCAAGTTTAATTACTCACTACTCTTCAACTGAAAGTATTTCATATTTTTAAGTATTCAGTCAACTTATTACCCTATTTTACCATACATTAGATTACCCAGTTTCTGCTACTAATTTAAAATATGAGGTCCTCAGATGAAAATATTCCAATTTTCTTTTGTATAAAACTGGATGAAGCTAGTTTTTTTGAATTCCCAGATTCCATACTCATATCTGGTTCACTGTGAGAAGAAATTCAATGAATAATTAAAATTTTAGCCATGCGTCAGTAAAAATAGGATGCAACGTGTAATCTGAAGCTTTTAAACATCACATTTTCCCCAAACTAGTTTAACTGTTAGAATTTGATTCCATTTTAAAGGAAATGGGAAAATTTTCAGACTAAAATTTAAACACGCCTACTTTAGTTTACAGCCAACTAAAAACATGTACACTTCAGCATTACCATCTACCCCCTCATAAAAAGTCCCCATCCAATGCAAAGGCTGTGAAGGTAAAGAGAGCCTAGAGAGGGAGGTCTGAAGGTTAGGGAATGCCACAAATCCGAAAGAGAAAATTCACATCACAACCTAAAAGTGGTCCCCTTTCAGGAACGTCTGCAGCCAGCCCAACAGCCCGGTTCTGGGCAGAAGCCTGCTGGTGTTGGCACTGCCTAAACCAAACAAACAAGATGTTTAACAGTCAAATAAAATGTCCTGCAGCCCTCCCTAATGAATTTGTCAAGGACCATCAGATTTCGCTCCCCCTCTTTTGCCTCATTAACTCAAGTATGATGAGACGGATTATAACAAGAGAATACAGATCAATCGGTCCGAGGGCTTGAAGTGGCTTTTAGCCTCTCGAGTTTCTTTCTCTCACTTGGTCTCCTTTAATAGAATACGGTATCTCCTGCAGAAGGGGCTGCCACTTCGTTTTAATACACCATCAAGGAGCTGCTGATGGACTTCTATACTAACATACATAAAAGCGGAGGTGACAGGGGCTCTTCATTTACAGCCTCCTCGGACGCCGTTTCCCCCTTCAATTATTCAGCCGGAGGAAGCTCGGGTCCGCGCGCACACGCGGCGGCGGCTCGGGGAGCCCGGGCGGCCGCCGGGGGCCGCGGTGGGGGAGGGGAGGAGGGCGCCGGCGAGCGGGAGCATTATTTGCTGGAAGTGTTTAAGTTTATTGCTCGAATGATGTTTCTAATTAGTACCACGGCAATAAATTAAAGTCGCCTTTGTTTAACTGATTTATTATTTACTAGCGCATCTACCTTGGACAGGATAAATTGGTAATGGGTTGTTTTTAAATCAAAACATTTGTAACATCTGATCATCCCCCGGCCTCGGGATCGGGATGGGAAAGTGGAGAAATGCGGCGACCAGGGCACCGGGAAACTTGGCCGGGAGGAGAGGGGCGCCTGGGGGGGAGCCGGAGAGAAGGGTCCGCGGGGCCCGGGGATCCGCCGGCCGCCCCCGCGGGACGTCCCCCTCCCCCCGCAGTCACACCCGGGGGCGGCGCGGGGTCCCCGCGACTGGCCGACCGGAGCGGCAACCTCGAGGGAAAGCCCCCTGGGGCCCGACCACCAGTCCCCGCCCCGAAACTGCCCGGGCCGCAGCCCAGACTCGCTCCCGCCCCGGCGACCGCTCCCGGTGCCCGCCGCAGCCTGGGCAGCCCGGCGCGCGGTCCCCGAGGGCGAGGGGGGTGGCTCCTCCCGGCCCCCGGCGCGCCCAAAGGATCCGGGGGTGCAGGGGGTACCCCAACAGCGCGGCACCCGCGGCCGCGCGGCACTAGTTGACTCAAGCGCTGAGGGCGTCGCGTCAAGCCCACTTCCGATGCTTCTTCCCAACTCCTAGACACCGGTCCGCAGGAATTCTTAGAAAAGGAAATTTTTCAAAGGCCAAATGGTTCTTTGGATAGGGATTTATGGCAACCCGCATGAAAAAGGTTTGACAAAGCAGCTTTTGGTCCCCACCAGGCAAGAAAGAATCAAAGAGGTCCGAGTTTCGGGTGTCAAACAGGTCTAAAGAGTGAACTCTCCCTCGGCAACTGAGATCAGGTTCACCTGGTCCGTAGGCATCAGGGAATCAAGCCCTCCCAAGGGGCTCCGCAAACGCAGCGCACCAGGTTTTCGCAAACGAACTCTAAAGAAGACTGCGCCCAAATGCTTCACAGATTTTTATTCTTATACCATCATCGGAGAATACGACGATTAAAATTAAAAAAAAAAACTTCTTAGATTGTTTGTTAAAAGACTCAGGAACCCGACACCTGAGATCCAGAAAAAAATTGCTCACTATTAAAGTAATCTCAGTAACTCTCCTTCCAGCTTTCCCCCCATCCAAGATTACTGAAAGGCTACAACGGGTACAGCTTGAGAAGATAATACATATACTAAAAGCAAACGCATGAGTTTCATTGAAATGCCAAGGGAGGAGTGAAGCCATCTGTGTAATCAATAACAAGATAGTTATAGATTTTTTTCAGCAGTGAAGTCTTTTAAAAGCAAGAGTCAATTATGACAATAAAATCATTTTAGAAGTGAAATTCTGTACCGGCTGAGAATGTATTCTAAATTAGATTTACAACATTAACATTTTAAGGAAACTTTAACTGAAGTTCACATTTACTTTGTTTTTTCACTAAACTTAAGAAACAATTTTAGTAGTTTATTTCAATCTAAAAGTATACCCTCCAAAAACCTACCAGAAAAGGCACCATTTCTCACATCTTAAACATATTTTCTAATAACTAACATGAATAAGTATATCTGAATCTTAATTATGAAGTAATTATCAAAGTATCCGCGCTATTTTCTCTGCCACAATTCCCCACAGCATATGGAAATTGCCGAAGAGAGATTTATGGTAATAAACCTTCACCCACATCCACTCCAACTCCACCACCTCACATACACCGGTGCACATCTCAGCAATTGCTCGGACTCTTGGCAACAATGGAGAGGAGGGAAAGAGAAGGAAGACTTTGTGGGAGGAGAAAATCTGGAAAAATTTAGGTCCTTTTCCAGACTTTCCTTCCTCCTCCCACTAGCCTCCAAGCGAAAGTAATTCTGCGAGCCTTTGCACCTTCCTCGCTACATTGATAGCGGAAAAGAAGTAAACCTTTCCGAACCACAGCTACTCTCCCTCGCCAAATCCCAGCCGGGTCGAGAACAACCCTTCTATGCACTCTTGCTCGCAACTGATGGAAGAGGAGGGTAAAGATGAGGGGCTGCAGGGAAATGTGTGCAAGCCTTTGACTTCTACTATCTCCTTCTATTTTTTTCACTTCTCCTTTTACCCCCTTTTCTTTATCAAGTGCAGCGGCGGTTGCTACTGTCCGCCAAGCCGAGCATGCCTGTCTTCTCTCTGGGATTGGCTAAATCACTGACAGCTCGGAGAGCGATTGTAGGAACTGAAGCTCCACCCCCCTCATGATGGCCCTGGACCATTCATAAACTAAATAACGGGGGGGGGGGGGGCGGTGGCGGGAGAGAGGGGGAGAGAGAGAGGTGGAGGGAGACAGGAGGGGGAGAGGGAGGAAAAGGGAGAAAGATTAGTAAAGGAGAGGGGGGGAAAGAGAGAAAGAGAGAGGGCGAGAGAGACCTGGGAGGAGAGGAGGGGAAGAGACGACTCAGAAAGTGGAATCTGCACAAGCAACCTGAAGGGGGAGGAGAAGAAAAACCCTCGAATCCTCATATCTAAGCCCCAGATGCAACGCAAGCAACGACTTCACCACACTAGGACAGATTTCGGGAGGGCCAAAAAGACCAACTGCGGAGCAGAAATGAGTATCAGACAACTTCCAGCGGTTTGCACCTAGAGAAAGACCCGAGGAGGCCACCGCGGACGAGCACGCCGCTTCCCAACAACGCGGCCAGCGGGCCGAGAGCAAAGGGCTCCGGGAGGAGACGCGCTCAGCGAGTGCGGGCGCCTGCAGACCGCCGGCAGCCCGGGTCCGACTCGCACCCCGCCGCTCGCAGGACATTAATTACACCCTTCACCTTCCAGTGGGGGAGGGGGCGGCGAGAGGCGCTCACCTACCCCGCGCCAAGACGTCTCGGCAGCCCCAGAAGTTTACCAATGAGACGCTGAATGTTTCCCTTTTATTTTTAAATTTACTTTGGCACTTACAAGACCTCAGTCCCAGATTTCTGGACAATCTCGACGGCAGACGGCTAAGCCTAACCTCGGGGTAACCTAATCTTCCCGGCTCGCACCCTCTCTTCCCCCTTTCCCATTCATCTCTCCCGCGCACATCTGTATCTGACGTAGCCGCGAGAACGCGAAACCCGTCTCGGCAGGTATTTTTCCTTTCCATTTTTCCTCCCCCAAGATCGCTCTTTCGGGGGTCGCTGGCGCCCTGAATTGTCCGGAGAAAGCGGAAGGTTTGGGCAAGCGGGGGGCAGCGAGGAGGCAGCCGGCTGGAGCAGCGGCCGGCCAGCCCAGGTGGACAGCCGGAGTCAACAAAGTGGGGCTCCAAAGTGGGGAGCGCAGCGCCTCTTTCGCCAGCCGCAGGGCCACCCGCGCCTGAGCCTTGGATCCCTCAACGTACTGCGAGACGCCGGTGTACAGCCCGGACCTGTGCCCCAACATGATCGCCGCCCAGGCCAAGCTGGTGTACCAGCTCAATAAGTACTACACCGAGCGCTGCCAGGCGCGCAAGGCGGCCATCGCCAAGACCATCCGCGAGGTCTGCAAGGTGGTGTCGGACGTGCTCAAGGAGGTGGAGGTGCAGGAGCCGCGCTTCATCAGCTCCCTGAGCGAGATCGACGCCCGCTACGAGGGGCTGGAGGTCATCTCGCCCACCGAGTTCGAGGTGGTGCTCTACCTCAACCAGATGGGCGTCTTCAACTTCGTGGACGACGGCTCGCTGCCCGGCTGCGCCGTGCTCAAGCTGAGCGACGGGCGCAAGCGGAGCATGTCCCTGTGGGTCGAGTTCATCACTGCGTCCGGCTACCTCTCGGCGCGCAAGATCCGCTCGCGCTTCCAGACGCTGGTGGCCCAGGCGGTGGACAAGTGCAGCTACCGGGACGTGGTCAAGATGATCGCGGACACCAGCGAGGTCAAGCTGCGCATCCGGGAGCGCTACGTGGTGCAGATCACGCCGGCGTTCAAGTGCACCGGTATCTGGCCGCGCAGCGCGGCCCAGTGGCCCATGCCCCACATCCCCTGGCCCGGCCCCAACCGGGTGGCGGAGGTCAAGGCCGAAGGGTTCAACTTGCTCTCCAAGGAGTGCTACTCGCTGACCGGCAAGCAGAGCTCGGCCGAGAGCGACGCGTGGGTGCTGCAGTTCGGGGAGGCCGAGAACCGCCTGCTGATGGGCGGCTGCCGAAACAAGTGCCTCTCGGTGCTGAAGACGCTGCGGGACCGCCACCTGGAGCTGCCCGGGCAGCCGCTCAACAACTACCACATGAAGACGCTGCTGCTGTACGAGTGCGAGAAGCACCCGCGGGAAACGGACTGGGACGAGGCGTGCCTGGGCGACCGGCTCAACGGCATCCTGCTGCAGCTCATCTCCTGCCTGCAGTGCCGCCGATGCCCGCACTACTTTCTGCCCAACCTCGACCTCTTCCAGGGCAAGCCCCACTCGGCCCTGGAGAGCGCTGCCAAGCAGACCTGGAGGTTGGCCAGGGAAATCCTCACCAATCCCAAAAGCCTGGACAAACTATAGGGTGCCGGGGCTGCTTGAAAAGCGACACGGAACGGGACCGCTCTCACCCGCACCCCGCGACACGAGGCCGCCACCAAGAGCCGCAACTCGGGACACAAACTTTTACGGAAGGCACCTGGAAAGAGGAACCGGGCCTGCGCCACCCCCCACCTCGAGGAGGAGAGCAAACCAAGCCCCCCAAGCCACCTTCTTGCACAAACGTGATTGTTTTTCTTCCAGACAATGTGAATTTAAAAGGTCACACAAAAGAAGCAATCGGGCTTTGCCACCACAAAATGAAACCCAAGGTACATTTTCAAATCAATGTATAGTAGTTTTCTCCCCTTCCCCTCTCCTCTCCTCTCTTTCTTTTTCTCCTTCCCTCCTTCCCTCTTTCCACCCCTCCCTGCCTCTCCCTTCCTCTCTCCCCGCCTCTCTCATTTCATTTTGTTTTGGGTTGCCTGAATGTTGTCACCAAGTGAAAAAAAGTATTTAATTATATGTAAAATTTTCTCTTTTAAAAAAGTTTTGCTGATGTCAAATGTATCTCAGTGCCAATGTCGGATTGTGCCCCTCCCTCTCTCGCACCTCTCCCCTTGCCCTAAGCAGTCTTGTTGAAACAGTAATAAAAATATTACTTTCCATTGTAGTTGGCTGTTTGTGAATTGTTCTTAATGAAGGCAGGTGAGATCTCAATCTATAATTTACAATGTTAAAGATGTGATGAACTAGAAGAACTAATGCAGGGAGAGTCCATCAGAGCTCTTTTTTGCCAAATTTACAAATTCAACTGACTGTAAATTTAATCCATATAAGCTCCTACAAATACAATTAGAAAAGAATAAAAAATAATTTTTACCCACTATAATGTAGATTTAAACAAATTAATCTCTAATTTCACTCTTGAGAAAAGTGATCATATTTTGCATGAAAGAACATATTTAGAAAGAAAAAAGTTCACAGTACTATTAAGAGGTTTGCTTCTTATGCAATAATTTCTAAAATCCACTGAATATAAAATACAAAGGAAATGCTAGTCTTTTCTGAATAGTTAATATGATCAGTTGATTGCTTTCCTTCAATCATTTGTATAATTCAATATTTAAATAATAATTTAAGAAGCAAATCATTCATACTGAAGAGTAAAATTATTACAGCACTATTCCTTTTTTCTCCAGCAAATAATCATATTTACAAATAATTCAGTCTTTTAAATGATTTAATTATAAATGGCATACTATGGCATTTTAAAATCAAATTCCCAGAATTATTTTGAAGCTTCTTATTGGCAATTTAAACAAACAAACAAAAAAGTCTCTGATATCTCCCTATGCCCAAATAAAAATTACTCTTAGAGGATTTACATTAAGGAAAAGTCTGTTCAGTCCTGCCTCTTCCTGCTTTTCTAATGGGCTTATTTTAAATTTACAACTTTAACACTTAACAAAATAATTAGTACACTGAAAGTATCCCAAAAGAACTGGTCAACCTTGATGTTGGAGACAACTATACACTCCACTAGACCTGTGAAAGTAAGACACAGGTACAGAATGCATCAGATGTGAACTAACCTTTAATGCTTACAACTGAATCTTTGAATCAGTCTTATTATTTCATTGAGAAATTCCATGAATGAAAGATGCAGAAGAACATGTTCTTTTAAAGATCAGAAAAAGAAGTTTGGGGGCGGGGGAGTGTAAAAAGGGATGAGGGGCAGGGCAGCAGAGATGGATGAAAAGAAGGCAGCTACTCAGGGCCCTATGCCTGGGTCACTGAAGTTCTAAGGCTCCCTGGTAAAACTTCCCTAAGTAAAAATAGCTCTGTTAGAAATATAAACCATCTTATCAGACCTGAAATCATCACTACTGCTTCAAGTTCTATCTTTTGCTGGTCTGTCTTCCAGTACATACGAAAAAAAATCTTTGTAATATAAGGGGTTCAGAATAAAAGTCTAATTATTAAGTAACAAAATTGCTTTTATTCTCTGAGAAAAATGTTCTGATTTTTAAGAACACCTTCAAGACAACTAACAGGTGATTACAAAGAAATGATTTAAGAGTACAGTATTTAATGTAAAAGATTAAAATGGCATCATTAAAATGACCATCTTTCCACTCACAAAACATCTACACATTAGACATTTGACAGCTAACTCCCATCAACTGTCTTAGAAAAACAATGTTTCGAGGTTTTGACAAAAATAAGTCTCCCATTCGCTATATTTCCCCTTTTATTTAATTTGATGCAAGTATCACCAATATAAAAAGAGAATTATACTACAGTAACACAAGGGCTCTCAATAATAAAATACTTGACAGTATCAACATCTACACCAAATTAAAAATTCTTCCAACTATTAGCTTAAAACATCTGAAGAATATAAATCCACATTTAAAATTTCTGTAACTTAGGCAGGTTACAGCAGTACAAGACAATTTCAGTGATGGGGCTAAAAGATTCCTTTAGCACACAGCAATAGAGAAAGAAAATCAATTTAATGACGCTACACAGAATAAGATTAGAGAAAAATAGAAGTTTTAACTTCTCCTAGAAGCACAAATAACTTCAAAGAGACTAATCACAAGGATTGAGAGGTTGTAAGATTGAGAACAATTCATCAGATGCCTTTATAAATTACATTTTATATTTCAAGCCATGTATGTCTAAAAAACAGAATACTCTAAGTTTCAACCTGTAAGACATTATTATAAGTATGCTCAACTAGAGAGTTTAAATAACACTGGTTATCTTTTTCCCCCATAGGAACTAAAATACATTGTTACACAGTTCAATCGTGTAATAAAGCAGAAATATTTTCTACTTGATGTTAATTTTCGAACGAAACATTTCTCCATATTGGATTAGTTGAACTACCAAGCTAACAATCATCAGTTATATCATAGCCTTTCTGACATACAATATTCAACGATCCTGTCTTGACAGAGGCAGCATTTTTAAAATAAAGTGTGAAAAATTGCATGAGATTTGTTTACAGATTTTAATAAAATGAGAATATTTTTATTAACTACTTTGAAATACTCCTATATGACTAGAAATTAGTTATTCAGATGATTACAAACCCAAAGAAGTATCTGCCAATGAACTCGGAATGTGGTTATTACTGTCAGCCTGTGAAATAAGTCATTCCACCTTTCCAAACCAATTCCTCTCTACAGGTTGCTTATTTTGCTCATTTTTAAAAGGAGACTGTTGACTCTCAAAAGAAATTCTACCATTTTCTTTCAATAAATAAAACTGATTTGGGCTTTATGTTTCACAAATGTTTCTTAGTGAAATAAAGTTGCCAAGGTCTGCACAGTAATCAGAAATACACTTTAAAGGGAATTGAATTTTCATTTAAATGAATAGGAAATTATGCAGTGCCTTGTAAAAATCAGCTACAGAGAATGGGAAACAGAAGTAGCTCTCACAGACACAAGAAGTGTTTGCGTCCACGACAGAGTAGTAAGTCACGAGGACAAAGCAATGAGAGTGATATACTGGTATCACAGCCAGAAAATCAGAAAATTTAATGGCTAAACCAAAGAATCCCACACTCCCTCTCACTGAATTTTGCAAGTTTAATTTCCTCTGGACCCTTTGAGGCAAAATATATTTATGCCAATATTCCCTGAGGTCCTCCCCCTACCCCTGAATGAGCTAATGATAAATGCAATTAAGTAGGAATTGTTTTTGAATCTAAATGAACTTCAATAATCTAACGAGCTCGTAAGGGAGCTTTTGTGAGCAAAAGAAGAGCGCTGCCTTAAACATGGGGCAGAAGCAATTCAGCAAGAAATCCAAATTGCCCACTTCTACCAACAGCAATCCTATCCAGCATCAGCACCCACAGGCCATCCTAAGGGGGGCGGGGGGTGGGGAAGCCATGAGCATAAACTCGAAGCTCCATCTCCTCACCTTGGGGTCGATTTTCTTGAAGTTAGGGTCCTCTTCATCCACCTCAAAATAGAGTTCAGAGGAGGTGACGGAGAGAGTGCCCTTGACTACCACAGAGGGGGCCACAAGCTGAGCTGGTGTGCTCAGGCTAACAGGACCTGCCAAAGAGAAAACACAAGCTGCCCAAGGTGGAATGACATTTTCTCCCTCCCATTCATGCCCACCCCCCAAATCAGATTCAAACAGAAATCAAATTTAATTTTAAAACTCTCACCCCAAGGTCCAAATTGCCTGCTGACTCTTTCTACCCTCACAGAGTCAGCCCATCCCAATCTTCCCCTGAAAATGCAAAGTCAGGATCCTCATACGAGGACATTAATAATAAGCAGTTAATAATTCCAGAAAAGTAGGAAGGCATTTATTTCACAGAGTCTGCAAACCTTTGGTCTAATCTCCTGGCAAGAAAGTGACTCTGCCTAAATGAGTCCATCCACATTCCATCTAGAAAAGGAGCCTCAGGCTATCCACCAACATGGAACAACAACCAGGAGCAAGGAAGACTCGATAGGCGTCCAAGGCCAGAGGTTAGCTTGGAGTTTGGCTGATGCACGATTACAAAAAGATCACTAGCTTAGTGAAGTAAGAAACATTAGACCATATTCTCTAATAAATCTTTCGTGCCAGGCTGACACAAAACCTCTTCCAAAGGAACTTGGCCTCATGGAAGACTGATAAAAAGACTTCTTTTCTAAGCCAGCCTTTCCCTGCTAAATATTGTTCAATGCTTTCAAATCTAATATTAGTGTAGTTCAGGGACTCTGGGAGTAAACAGCTGGAGGGTGGGTTTCCAAGTGAATGAATTTTTATTGGAATAATCAAATCTCCACAGGGCTTATCAAAGAGACAAATCAGCCAGCTAGTGAAAACAATAGATTCACTACAGACAGAAATGCATAAAGTATATTAGAACTAAATATAACATAAGAATTAAAAGACAATTATTTCTGTTGCGTATAGTTACATGGAGGGAGATAAAATAAGAATTGGAAATGCCATGCCAGTTCCTCAGTACCCAAATCCTAAAGAGGAAGAAAATAGCAAGAGAAGATTGGCACTTACAGTTGTCAATTAATACAGTGCCTATAACCACAGCGCACCTATTCAGGTAATCAATGAGTGAATAACTGTTTCAAAATTCAGATGAATTGACATTTCCATCGATTGTTAGAAGGGTGTTGGTCCTTAATCTC